GACATTTAACTTTTGTATTAACTCTAAAGAAAGGCCCCACAGGGGAGACAGAAGTGCATAGCAGGTGGGTAAACAATACAGAACCCCGACTGCCAACAGGTGCACTTACTTAACGTACTGCCCTATCACAGTGGGGAATTTTCAGTTTTAAAACAGCTACAATCTAAACTGTTGTATATTCAGACAAGTTTTTACCTCTTGCGAATGCCTCACATTTTATACTAGAGAGTTCCTTCTCGTACCTACCTCCTCTCACCAGGCACAAATGCGGTGTATGGCAGATGGTTCGAAGCAAGTAAATGGGACCGTTACAACGGTTCTATGTCAGTATGAGCAAAAGTCATCTCACCAACAGGCAGTTCAGATGACAAGACTAGAATGTATCAGTGTTATTCTGATCTCTCTAGGAAATGAGGGAATTCATGTTAAATTAGTAGCATAATGAATTTCTGTGCTCTTGGCAGACAAACTTACTTGCCGCTAAGCTCTTTCAAAACAGGAGCCCTTTCCACTCACCTTCAGGAAGCCATGGGTGGGCCCTCTCGGGAGCTCTGCTCATCCACTGGCATCCCCCAGCAAGACCACTGCTGGCATTTGGAGCAGGGCAATTCTGCCACCTGTGGGACTGTCCTTCTCACTGCCTGCACCTGGCCACCTTCCCAATATCCCCAGCAACACTGCATACTCCCCTATCCTGAGAAACACTGCAGACTCCCCTATCCTTGTCCCCACCCCATGCCCTCCTATGTACTCAGCTGATGCTAATTTTATGCTGCCTAGTGGATATGCTATTCAGCCATTTTGACAGTTCTGCCTAAAGAGGAAAAGTGCCTACTCTCTGGCTAACTTCTAATGCACCTAACACATGTTGTGAGCTGCCTGGCTGCCCATTCAAAATTCATCATGCTATAATTTCAAATGAATTCTTGTCAAAAGCCTTTCAGGCTAGTCTTGACTTGGGGTGATCGTTTCTTGAACTGGACCACTTTTACATGACCTTTTTTCACATTTTTAAATTTAATAATTAGTTTTCTGTGAACCCTGCATTTACTCCTGAGCTTTTTCATGTCCTTTAGGAACAGCATGACTCAGGCCACCTTGGAGGCCATGTATCCCACCAGCTCTGGGCAGAGCCACCCGGACTAGCCCCCAGCCACAGGCTAGTACCCTCAAGTGCTATTCAAACCAACCCAGTGTCTGCCACTTCTAGGTTTATTTTACCCCCACGTGCATAATGCAGTCAAGAGGATCGCTTTTCATGCCAAAGCAAAATTTATACTTTTGGATAAAAATGGAATGATGGTGATTTTATTATTTTTATTGTTATAACCATTATTGTCACAACAGCGAACCACTGAGTCCTTGCAAGGCGCCAGGCACCCTAAGTGTTTAACATGCGTTACATTACTTAACGGTTTAGAACACAAGTATTAGTCAGAAACTTTCAGTAAAGGTAGAACACATCTGCAGAGTGTGCTGAGAATGAACCGGGTGCTGTTAACATGGTAACGTGAACAGCACTCCTTCTGCCTCCACGAGCTGAAGGGGGCAAGCGAGCCCTGTGCCTCACCATGCAAACATGCGGACACCCAGGGGCAGGACGCCAGGTGGTCACCCAAGACTTAGACGTTTAGTGTGATGGTGGATGTCCTACAAAAGCAACTGATGAAGCGGTTGTTGTAAATAACCTGATCATGGTATCCCCGAGATACCGGTCACTGAATCAAAAGTAGAGTGAAATGGCTCATGATACTGTAAATGGTATTTTTCCTACAAATTTGCTGTATACAGTGTCGTAGTAAAACTGCTTAGTAAAAAAAAGACAGAATCAAAACTCCTCCTGCCTTTTACGTTGGAAATTAGTTTAATATGTACAGTACTGAGTACATTCCATTGGCAATGGGGATTAGCTGACGAGGACTCCTTTTAGTGTGTGCTGCTTGTTTTCTGTTTCTGAAGGTGCAGATGCCAGCATTTTTCAATAAAAACTCAGCAAGTCGTGAACTAGCAGACAAGTGTGGCCTCTAGCAAGACCAGCCCCTTCGGCGCAGAGTCCTTGTCACAGGCCCAGGGCAGCCCCAGGTGAAGGGCGTCCCCTCAATGTGAAATCTACATGGATCATTGCAATATGAGTGTGTTTCTATTATGAGATGAATGTGATCAGGTAAATGGCCTTGATTAGGTATCTTACCTTGGTCTTAAAATTTGTTATCTGTTTTCTTCATTGTGTGTGTTAGTAATACCAGTAAAAACAGATTATCACACATCTTCCATAAAAGGATTGTGACAGGAATGTCCCTTAGTGTGTACGATGATACACCACCTGCAGCAGACATCCTGGAATATTACATCATTTTAAGTGCAGTACAGGGCAGCTGAGTTCAAATCCAACTTGGCTGATGTGGGCTCCCATAAAAGCTGTTACCAGTGAAGGCGAAAAAAATAAGAATTTGCTCTACTAAGGGAATAAGAAATGAAGTTACAAAACACTTAAATCACATTAATTCCTTCACAGGCCTTCGTCATGCAAGTGTGTAATTTTAATCTATTCTCTTCATTAGGGTGCTGTAGTACTATGTAATAATTATTCCAATATCAATTTTATTTCTCACATATACCTTTTTTGAGAAGAATTTAAACCACAAGTGACCTCAAATGTCTTGAAATACCAACTCTGTGAAAACCATTTTAATCAAGGGTGATAAAAGCAGGACACACAAACATGCAGTGGGCATGTGACCTGAATAAGGGGCCAGTATGAACCCCAAACAGCAACTCCCATGGCTGCCTAACTCCCACCAGAACGGGACCAGTGGTTTATAGGACGTTGTTTTATAACACTACATTTTGCCTCCCGTGCTAAAAGGCGTTCAGCGTTGTAAACGCGTACTGTAGTTCAGTAGTGTTAACACATAACAGACAAGGCTTTTTGTTCACCTGAAGTGGTTTTAATGAACAATATAATTCTATAAAAATGAACGCTAATGAAAGATTCATATAAGCCACACGAAAGTGGCCTGACGGAAAGGCCTAGTAATTTAAATGTTTTTATATAAGCAACAGAATGCATACTATGGGATCTATGTATCACCTTCAAAATGCAGGACAGTGTATGATTTTAATATATTTAATATATAATATAAACATATTTAATAAACTATCCACTTCTGAAGTTCTAAAGAATTAAAAAATCAATGAAATCTAATGATTATAAAATGCTTCATCGAAGTCTTCCCAAGTTCAAAACAAAGATCACACTCACCCTGGTCCCAGTGAACGTCAGACCACCAAGCCTGACCCACCTGCTCTAACCCCACCCCGGCTGTGTCCACCCTGGGCTGTGCTGCCCTGAATCCAAGCCTTTGGCTGGCACAGCTTCTGACCAGGAATGACAGAAAAGATTTGTTTTCAGCCTCAGAGCTTTTCTTGCAACTGTATCTGACAACGAAGTAAAAATTCAATTGGACAGTGGATCAAAGTGCAATGAAAGAAAAACTTATTTAAAAATCTTCTTAAATAAAAAAGCTGACTTTAAGCGGAAGGGTCTATGGACCTGAAACTTTTTATTTTTAGTATTCTTCTTTAGAATTAGAATCGTCATTTTTCAGGATACTAATCATAATTCAGACAAGAAAAAAGGAAAAAATTTTGTATAGAATTTTTCTTTCCCATGTTTCAATAAGTCCCTGGAATTTCAGTGAAGAATTCATACTGCATTTTCTTGAATGTGCCCAGATATGAGAAATGTTCAGTCACCTACACACATAGCAAACTATGAGAAAGCCCCGGTTCCCACACACATGAGCAGCTTCCCCCCACTACTGGTGTGAATCCCCAAAGACCCTGCTCAGAGCAGCTCTCTGTGTTTGCGCCCCCTCAGATGGCTTAGGTCCCTAGAAGACACCTGATGCAGGAAGGCCCGTGCCTCATCTAAGGCGAGGAAGCAGCCAAGGCTGAGAGACAGTAGGAGAACGGCCAGGCCCCACCAGTGACTGTGGCAGAGACCAGGTCAGAAGTGCCACCTTCTTGCCCAACAGGGTGAGGGGTCTATCTACTCCCTGCCTTACTGCCTTGTTCAAAAAAAGCCCAAGGTTAGCATCTCATAAATACTCTAAAAACAGAACTCATGTCTACAGTGAGAAAAAGAGGATCACAGGGAACAAAACAGTAAGGAATTAAAACTTGAATATAAACTCCTTGGGTAGTCACTAAAATCGGGAATCCAAAACTCCCTCTGGACAAAAAAAAGTGTCAGACTTGCATTCTGAGGCTGTTTTTTGTTTTGTTTTGTTTTTAGAACAGCAAAGACTTTAAATTTGGTGATGAAGTCCAGATGTCATGATACAATGAGGGCAATAGCCTCAAGTAGCTATTATTCTGCTATTGTATATTCTGCAAATCCAGAAAATAGAGGAGTCGTATTACCATGGTGGTTCTGACTCACCTCCACACTCAAGTATCTACGAATACGCCAGGATTTAAAGGACTACAACCATGGAATGCATGAGGACATTCCTCCATGAGCCTAGGTCTAAAGACCGCTGGAATCCGACACAGCAGGTAACCCACCCTCCATCCCACCTGGGGTGAGTGCACAGTGACTAGAGTCAGCTCGAGTGACAGTGTCATGAGAGGACCAGAGCAGACTTGCTGGGATGTGGAAAATTAATTACAATGTGAGGGCTATAGGGAACACAACATTTTAAGACAGATTTCAAGAACAATTAAACTACATCCAGACTAAAGTAGATGCACGTACATTTATACATACACTGTGTGCATGTGTGTATATCTGTGATGCTCAAATAGACTAAAATAGTTGATTTTTTTTTTCCATTCCATGACTTATACATAGTTTAAAGAATCTGAAACTCACCTACATTTGTGGAGAGGACACCAGTGTTATGCTTGTTAAGTCTGACTTTTGCTCACACTTCAACTTGGGAAACTAAATGGCCTTCATACGAACACCACGGTCATCACTATCATTAGTATTTTACCTCATTCTCAGTTAAGGATGCAGAAGGAGACGAACTTTTGCTAAAAGGAGTGGAAGACGCTGCTGTGGACGCCCGATTTCGCTTCTTCAGTGGTTTGCATGCATCTGACAGATGTTTCGTTGCTGTAAAACAATTTTGGTTTATAAAGTAAAGTTTGAAATCTTAAACCTTCAATCTCTTAACTGCTTCAAAATTAGCCCTGTAATAAATGAAGTTCTAAAGATAAATTGTCTGGGCTCCTTTGTCATAGTAAAGGCTTAACTTTTTACTGTGAAAAAATCTGAACAGAAACAAAGGCAAATTGTCCAGTGAACTTTAATGTCCCCCTGCCTGGCCTGCCCCCCAATCCATCAACCTGGGCCAACACAGCTCCATCCACACCTAGCTTCACATCCCTTGCCACATTCTTCTGGAGCAAATTACAAACATCATTTCACCTGTAAAAAGTTCAGTACATGTCTCTGAAACATAAAGTTTTAAATATAACCACAAGACCGCTATACCATTTTTAAAAATAACAATCCCTTCATATCATCAAATATCCACTCAATGTTCAAACTGCCCACAAATGTCCTCCTTTTCATAGTCTATTTAATTGATTTTTGAAAACCAGCACAGCACCTCATGCAAAATAAGGAAAACACATCCATTTCAACTCTCGCTCCTTTCTCCCCCTGAATGTTGTTTTCCTTTCTAATTAAGAGTTGGTGATAGGCTGGGAGGCAAGATGGTGGAAGAGTAGAGGACCTTGTTTCATGTGGTCCCTTGAATTTAGAAGTCCAATGCGCTATCCATTGCGCCACAGAGCCACCTTGTGGTCCCTTGAATTTAGCTAGATAACTATCAATTATTCTGAACACCTAGGAATTCAACCTGAGATGTAAGAAGAGTTGGAGGGTGCCTGGGTGGCTCAGTCGGTTAAGCATCCGACTTGTGATTTCAGCTCAGGTCATGATCTCAGGGTCATGAGATGGAGCCCTGCGTTGGGCTCCTTATTCAGTGAGGGGGGGGGGTTGCTTGAGGTTCTCTCTCTCTCCCTCACCCTCTGCCCCCTCCCACCCTCTTAAAAAAAACAAAAAAAAACAAAGAAGAGTTGGAGATGGTAAGCTCTCTGTAATAAACTGTCAGACAGACACTTCAAAAAGACAGTAAGGGAAAGGGAGCCTGCTTCCCCTTTCATTGCTTTGACTTATTTTTCACAAACATTTGAAGCTAGTTTCTTCAACATGTGAAAGAGAAATAACTAGTCATTACTTTTACTTTTAGCGAATACACATAGACGACCAGATACTCAAAAGTGGTGTAATTTATAGCAACAACTGGCACTGTCAAGTAAGAAACCTGGATATTCCTGGTTTAAATAACTTCTTCAGGGGCGCCTGGGTGGCTCAGTTGGTTAAGCGACTGCCTTCGGCTCAGGTCATGATCCTGGAGTCCCGGGATCGAGTCCCGCATCGGGCTCCTTGCTCGGCAGGGAGTCTGCTTCTCCCTCTGACCCTCCTCCCTCTCATGCTCTCTGTCTCTCATTCTCTCTCTCTCAAATAAATAAAGAAAATCTTTAAAAAAAAAACTTCTTCAGTGTAATTTTAAACTGAAAATAAAGCCCAGTAGAAACCAGTAGAAAAATAACTTCAATAAAATGTAGCTGGAGGGCTGCGACCACTTACACATTCAGTTGCATGAGAACCTCCCTTCCCCCTTATTAGCCGTCAGACCCCTTGGAGGCCACCCCGTACCCTTCCCGGCCCAGCTTCCTGTTCGCCTCCAGCCCAGCCCAGGCGCCTGGGAGAGCTGACAAGGAAGAAGCGCTAACCACATTACCTGCCTGGCTCTTCAGCGAGGAGGCTGCCTCAATGGCCTTGCAAGAGCTTGTTCGGGCTGTCTTGTCATTGATCGTCTCTCTCTGTTATTAAATAAAAAGAAAAAGAAGAAGAAAAGGAAGGGGGTAAAATCTAATGTGAACTAACACAGATTGCTGAAACGTTGTGCAACAGAAACGTCTTCCTTTGGAAATGTGCTCCGCACACTCCATGAGCGGGGACCCAGGCTCACGCCTCTTCCACAGCCGGGAGGCTCTCCCCTGCGCCTGCCCCACCATCTGCTGGGATAGAGGGGCTGGCGGGCCATGATACAGTCACGTTGCAGAGACTCTTCACGTGAGCTGCATTCCATATGCTACTCACATTTCCCTCTGAACTCAGAGTGTGAAGGAGAAGAAAACAACCCTTCTGCTCCAAAGGTTGCCCAATCAACCTGAAGTGGGGCCTCAAGTCAGTGCCAACATCACTGCTCTAAATCCCTACACTGACGATTTCCAATTTGGAGACAAGGTCCAGACAAACCTCACAAAGATCATCGATAAAGCACGTTTCATAATTGAGAAAAATCACACACACACACACACACAAAGGGCTCAGGAACATTTTGTCCAGTGTTCAGATCTGAAGGAGTTGAAAATAACCTCTCTTGACAGCCCTGAAGCAGCACTGCCACACGGCCACCTGCCCCTTCGCAGTCCCGAGGCCGGGCCGGTTCCTGCACCCCAACCCCACTCTCCAGCCTGCCGGGCGCCGATGGAAGCAGCCACAAGACTGTGGACAAGGTAACAGGGGCACAGGAAGTGTACAGGATATGGCCTACTCAGGTTTATAAAAACTCAACCAGGGGGAGACACCACTTCTCTTTTATTATGTGCTACTTCCTGAGCTCTTAGTTAATAAAACATTTCTACCTATCTACTTAATGTGAATTTGGTATTTCAAATGTCCAGGGCCACACATTTTTTAAGGTAAGTATGAAATACAAATATCTCAAGGCAGCCGATGTCAGTCTGACTGCAGCACAGGGCTGCTTTAATAACGGATGTCCAGAGGGGATACTCGGAGTGTGAGCTGCCAGGTAACGCAGATGTCACGCAGGTCAATTTTACCTATCTCGGGGCTGGATACTTGATCACTAACAACTTCACCTGACAGGTGTCTGGAAGAATGTTCTCTTGGCCAGAAAAATAGCGCAGGGCCTCCCTGCTGCCCTGAACTACAACAATGGCCTTAAAGAAGCAAGACGGGGTGCCTGGGGGGGCTCAGTCGTTAAGCACCTGCCTTCGGCTCAGGTCATGATCCCAGGGTCCTGGGATCGAGCCCCGCATCGGGCTTCCTGCATCGGGCTTCCTGCTCGGCGGGAAGCCTGTTTCTCCCTCTCCCACTCCCCCTGCTTGTGTTCCCACTCTCGCTGTATCTCTCTCTGTCAAATAGATAAATCAAAAAATCTTAAAAAAAAAAGGAGCAAGACAGATGATGCGGTGGCCACATATTTACACTTCAACAATACGTGGAATTTATTTTTCCATTCTTCAAAATAAAACAATAAAGAAAGGAACTTCTTAATTTAGATTAGTAAAAGATAGTATGAAGCTTTTCTCAAAACCATAAATACATGACTCTGTATAAACTCTGTATAAACTCAAGCATAAGATACAAAGTCTGTTTCAACTCTCTCAGTTCATGAATAAACGGCACTGGGCCATAAAGGCTCACTGGAAAGGGCTCACACTTTCCGCACGTATGAGCACCATAAGCCAGATTCACACTCCTTCAAGTACCAGGCAAACTTTGCCCCTCGATGCCTGGTGGACTACACTAGAACTAGACGGCCCTGGGGCTGGATCTCCGTATCTATGTGGTCACACAGCCTGCTTAGTGGTCCCATTAGGTAAATAGTAACATGAATTACTAATAAACTGAATGAATTCATAAAATCCATTTTCAATGCCTTTAATGGATTTTGAAAAACTTTTTTTATTGAAGTATAACATATCTCTAGTGGATTTTGATGTTTTCATGCCAACCCATTATTTACACATTGAATAATAACCCTATAGACAAGGGCAATCTTTAGTATATACAATTCCATCAAATCTAAACATCAAGTATTATTCAAAGTGTTTGGATTTTTTCTTTGATAGCCAAGTATCAGAAGTTTGTGTTAAAGTCCCTGGCAGATAAGAACTTGCTCTCTTGGACGCCTGGGTGGCTCAGTTGGTTAAGCGACTGCCTTCGGTTCAGGTCATGATCCTGGAGTCCCAGGATCGAGTCCCGCATC